GAAGGAAGTATATTATTTGTGATTTAGATGACTTCACAAAAGAATATTACAGAACCAAATTTGGCATTGGTAATTATGTTTAAAGAATATAATATACAGCTTGTTACTTTAATTAAAACAAAACAAATTGCAAATGGAGTTATCTCCCATATTGAAAAGATGATTATATGTTGAATGCATTGACAATAAAATTAGTTGTAAATTACTCAAAAGTTGTTTGAAAATATTTTTATAGACTCTTTTACTTATTGTTTTGTTCAACAAATATATAGTATGTCAGAAAGTATAAAGCAGGGGTAGGATAAAAGCCATCATTTGGCAATTTTTTTTTGAAAATTACTCATCTGTTATTGTCAAATGAATACTAGAGTGAAATCTGATCAGTTCATTGCCAAAAAGGTCATTTATGACAACAGAATAATTCCATCAACAAACTTACATGTATATAACACAAATTCACTGTTTCAGAATCAAATGCATTCTAGGTAACATTTTCAAAGGCGTACACCAAAACGTGATTGGTTATAAAAACGTCCTAAAATATGGAAATTCAGCCAATGATGTGCCGTTATTTTCAATTTATGGGAAGAATGAGATTACCCATAATCCTTTATGTTCTCAAACAGTGAATTGAGATGTATGTATTATAAAATTAAACATAGAAATGTAGAACTTAAAATTATTGGGAAATGACAAAACATGTATTTAGTCATAAAGCACAATGTATGATTGAAAATTGACAGCTTCACACAGCAATTACAGTACATAAGTTTAAATATGTTGGTGTATAGAAAATTTATGTTGAAAAGTCTTGATATAATATCCAGTAGAAAATCAACTTTTACTTTTTTCAGTAAATAATGATGATTTTGTACCTTTTTTTTCTTAGAGGACTTCAATACAGTTAGTTATAAGAAGGGAGGATATGGAGGTGTAGAACGTCAGTGGCCACCATACAATGGATGGGGAAGTGAAGAGGATTCGTTATGTTCATGTATGGGTCTGTTGCCTAAACCACCAAAACGGGACTTCATCAAATTCATGGAGAAAGATCGTCGTGGTTTAGACAGCAACGTTCTTAGATTCTTGGCTAGAATGGACACCTCCAAGCCAATAGATCAAGATAGAAGATTTATCATATCTTATTTCTTGTCAGATGATACTATTCTTGTCTTTGAACCACCAGTAAGGAACTCAGGTGAGGAATTGTCAGAGTATTGGTTTTCATGTTATTTGGAAAAAATTTTGAATAAGAAATTTAATCAATTAAATTTCAGAAAAATGGAAAGTTTCCATCAATTGTGAAAAAATAAACCAAACATTTGTAATAATAATTATGCTTTTGTGAATGTTGACCATTTAAACACATATTAGTCATTGTAAAATGATATTTTTAAAAACTAATCAATTTTGTTCTTTACATCAACTTTTCAATAATCTGTGCTAGTAACTGGTTTTGAGTGTTTAGAATGTATGTACTTCATGTTTACATTTATCCTATTTTCAGGTATAATTGGTGGAAAGTTCCTGGAAAGAACAAGAGTTAAGAAGCCAGAACAACCCTTATACAGTACACAAATGTCAGAATACTATCTTAGTTCTGACTTGTTTGTTGGAGCTAGAGTTATATTCAATAGCCATGTATTTTTACTCATTGATGCTGATGAATATGCATTTAGATATATGGAAGGCTGTCCTCATGAGGTAATAAATTTTAATCTGTTTTGCAATATTAAATTCCAAATATATGTGCTGAAACAAAATCGAAAAATCCAGTATAAGGAATATTAAGGAAGAAGTATCATACAATGTACTAGTATATAAAAGTGCATGGAGGATACAGGTGATGGAGACTTTCACTGGAGGGCTAATAAACAGCAATTTGGTTGGGTTATAGAAATATGGTCAACTTTACTCTTCTCCCATTTGACAGTAAGACTTGTGCTGAGGGGGTGTATAGTATGTATAAATATGCAACAATATCTGGTTGGAAGGGCATGTTAAAAGTGATGCTTTGTGTTGGGAGAATCCCTTGCTCTCTTCATATTGCTATAACTCTTAGGCGAATCACAGGTAACCTATAGCAAGGCATGCTGAAAAAATTGTTTAACCTTGGTATTGCATTTTTAAATTTGATTTTTTTGGTGGGGGGCTTGTGTTGTCGGATTGCTGTCACATTGAAATTAAAATAAATGCTGCCTGTTTTACATATTTTGTCAAAACATTTAATAAAATGCTTTAACAGGTAAACATTCTCTTTTTCAGTTTCCAAAAGCAAATATAGAATCAATAATAAACAGATTACGAGGTTCTGTAGGAAAGAACAAAGATGAAGTGAAATCTTTCTTCATGAGGAATGACCCTGAGGGTTCTGGAGTTCTAGGTTATGACCAATTTGTATCACTGTTGAAACAGGTAGATTCATCATTAACTGATCAGGAGATCATGACACTAGCCCGATTCTACAGTGAGAGACCATCGGAAGATGCAATTGATTCTAGGAAATTATTTGCAATTATACAAGAACAATTAAGGAAGAGAAACTATGAAGGTTTTTCAAAATTGATTGAAGACTGCCAACAACATGATCAGGGAAAGTAAGTATATTATGGCAATTATTCTCTATTTTGTAAACCCCCATCCACACCCTCATTATTGTCAAACAAAACAAAATTCTTTTTGAAGCTGCCATTTAACTTTAGTGCAACAGAAACAGTTATATTATTATTGGTTTAACTATTATATACATGTATAATCATAAGTTGATAAGGGGTTATTTCATGTGTATTAATACACATCTATTTTAAATCCACTGGCATATTTCTGAAAGCTTCAATCTGACTGAAAATGACCTCAATTGTACAAACCATGAACATTCATAAATATTGGTCAGGAAGGAGAAAAGTGAAACAAACAATCAATAGATTTTAAAATCCTATTAAATTTAACTTTTAAATTAGAGACTCATAGTGTACCTTTGATTGACAATTGATAAAAATGTTCAGGCCTTCTTTTTCTGCTTTCTTACTAAATCATTATTTCAAAAAAATCAATTTTATTTACATCCTATGAACATATAAGATTGTTATATGATATCCCAATCAGGGGAATATAGAAATAAGGGGGTTTTTGGTTTACAACATAACTCAATCAGTCTGAGGGAATTTACCAATTTATACTTATAAAAAACAGAAATTATGACAGAATTAATGATGTGGAATAAATTTATGTCAATTAGATAGCAATCCAAAAATTAAACCAACATAGACATCTACTTGTTAAGGTAACAGTATGGCCAACTATTGCCCTCTAAATGCCTTCTTTGCATTTTTTTTTGTTTGTTTCTGTCTCATTGACAAATACTCAACATCTCCTTTTAATCACATAAAATTTAGTTTGAAAATATTTGAGCTTCCAAAATGCAATAAAACCTCATTTGAGAACCTGGTGCCTCTCAAAAAAAAGAGGCAATGTTTTAATACCAGACTTACCCGTTATTTGATAAAATGAGTCAACCATTAACCTTGGATCTGTCACTCATCACTCATTTCATACAAAAAATTTAGGCAATTTCTTCTATTCAGTACAGATTAATTCCTTTAAAGGCAGGTATTTTAAAGAGAAGATGTAAAATAGAAATGACATTTATTTTTATAATTAAAACCGCTATTGAAAAGAATGATACACATGTATTTCTTTTCCTTTTTTTCTTTTCTCAATACTCAACCTTATTCAGACTTTCGGAAATTTATTTAGATTTCTAGTTCAGTATTAATATGAAATTATTTATTTTCAGACAAGGTTTCCTGGATCCTGAAACAGTAAGAACTGTTTTGCATGCCCACCATGTACCACTGCCAGATGACTTACTAAGAGCAGGAATTGCTATGTAAGTACTTTTGATTTCAGGCACCTAGGGAATACATGAAGCTGATCACTTATAAGTAAAATATACATCTTGTCATCCAACAACACTGACAATTTGTTGTTTGGTCATTCAAATTTAAATTTGATAAAAGTTAGCTTAAAGAAAAAAATCTCTATTGATATATTTTACATCAAGCGTATGACGACAAAACACTCCGGTTTACATCGTACTTCAATGCAGTAAAGCAAGTGCTTCAGTATTCAGTCTTCATGCACACACAATGTCACACATAAATCTATGCATCATCAAAATTTAATTTTTACATTGTATATCAATGCAATACAGATGTAGAAGTTGCAGATCATTCTACAATACTGATTAATGGAATTGCAAAAATAAGCAGTCACAGTTTCCTAAACCTAAAATATATGCTACAGATTTTTTGTTCATATCAGACCCTATTCCAATCTTTCTCATTTGAATTACTTTACATTTTGTCATGTTGGGGCTTTTCAGAGCTTGGTATGGGGTATGGGTTTTGCTTTATTATTGAAAGCCATGATAGTTTAATACTAATATCAATGTCATTTGGTCTCTGGTGGATAGTTGTCTTATATATCTCCTTATTTTATATTTCATGTTATAAACTAATAACTGATAAGCAATGTATATAGTACTATGACTAGCAAGCTGGATGAAAAGTCGGATTTGAAATCCATCAGCAACAGGTCTAAGGGAGATAATTCACAAGAAATTTTATAATTATCTTATTATTGTGCAAATGATTAATATTACCAATTTGTCACCAGTAGTAACATAATCATCTATTATCTTGCAGGACACCAGCCAATGAACGTGGTGAAGTGCAGTATGCAGCTCTTATCAATCAAATGAACTGGCGTGATGCACCAGTTCCACCAATGCAATATCAGCCAATCGTTGATGATTCTCAGTGGCAAGGAACCAATCAGAGCAACAAAATATCTGTATCCAGAATCTGTTACAATGTGTTGTTAGAAGACTTTTTCGGAAAATCATCATAAAAAAAGACACTTTTTAAATATCAATTTTAAATTTGAAGTATCTGTGATATGTGTTTTTAGTTTTGTTGATTGAAAAATGGAAAATGACCGAACAGAAAACAATTTTAATAATCAACAAACATGATAAAATAACAACAATAAATAGAGACTAGACTTGTGGTCACAAAACAAAATGAATTTGTACAAAATATATGAAAACTATTTATAAAAGAATAATGTATAATGATTTAGTTGGTTGTTTTTTAATTTATTTGAGTGAAAATGGCAGTACATGAATTTAAAATTATAATAGACAAATCCAGGTTACCAATAGCAGATATCCACTAAAAAGAGGAAATAAAATCCTTTCTGATATACACACACATATTAAAAAATATATATTTATTATCTGTAAACTGAAACTGGTATTAAAACATTTTGGAATATACAGATTTTCTTTAAATATATAGAACCTACAAATGCAAATTAATTGATGATTATTCTCTATAGTTATTTATTGAGTCCATGAAACCTTTGGTTTAACTAGATTTACAATTGTGTATCTCCAGTTTACTATATTTATTACTTATAAGATATTTAAGATATTTAAGAGCTTTTCCATCTAAATGGTACTGATGAATCATACTCTAAATAATTGGTTGTGCATCCATACAAACTATTTCAACATTGAACACATAATGGTAAATGTGATTCTGAACAATGAACATGATGAAATAGCCTTTGGCTCTTCCAAAAATGTTTGTAAGAAATTAAAGAAAGTTCCAAGAAGTATGGATCAGAATTATTGGAAATTTTAAGCATGTTGTGGTCTTCTGACTACCTGATATTTCCCTTATTGTTTATTTCATGAAAATATTACAAATTTATTGTAGTTTCCAAAAAATCAAGATGAATAAACAAATTCCTTTGGAAAGTTTTCACTGTCTCAGTTACATATATATATATATATATAAATACTCATGAACTCAAATCAACCAAAATCAGATGGCTTCTATCAGCTGATTAGCACTATCAATTTGTCCTTGAATATCTTGTAAGCACTTGGTTGCTTTGTGATGTTCATCTTGGAAAAACAACCTGTAAAAATGATTAAGATGACATAAATCATTTCATACCTTTGTAAACAAGTAGTTGCTCTTGTGTTTATAGAAATCACCTTTAAATTTGTCTTTCTGTACAACGTCTAGATCTATGTATTTCTTATTGTTACTTAAAGGAAGTCCACCAAACAAATAATAATAAAACATAAAACAATCTTAAAATCAAAATGGAAATTTGTTTAAACAGCTAGATTATGGAGAGCAGCACAGAAACAATCCTTTGGTCATGTTTCAGTCGGTCTGCTCATTAATTTAGTTGCATTAGCATCAATGTAATTTTTGTATCAAAGTGAACTGCATGCAGTGCATGATTAATTATCCCTCTGCCATGCCCCAGTGACTGAAATTTTGTCAACTTTAACCATTTAGTTTTCTGATTAGGTTTTTTATGAAAATATATAAATATGCTATTGGTGTATATTATGATGTTGAATCAGTATTCATCTTTTTCTTTTGATTGCAGACTATGAGGCTCAGAGCCTGAGTTATGTTTTGGAGTGATATAATTTTTTCCTTTATTCAGATGTTACATTTTCTATTAAATTAGGTTTGCATTTAAAGAAGTACTCATATTAAACAATGGATATTTGGTATGCTGTAGCTTAAGTATCCCTGTATTTCAGTTTCAAAAGAATATGAGGCTCAACCTACTGTGTGTATCAGGAAATTTGGAAGTTCTACATTGTTCAAATATCGGATATTAAATGTAGTACAATTGATGAATGGTGGCTGTTAAACGCCAAATGGCAAGGAAAATGCATATCTAGTACAAAAACATGATAACGTGATATGAATATAGACCCTGCTTTCTACTAGACCAACACACAGAGTCAAATATGTTAACATGATAGTTCATGAGGTAACAGCCAACAACAAGACATGTCACTCTTCCCAGACACATTATTCTGACTCCAAGATGACCAGTATTTGCTCTTACTCCTAAATGCTGTGTGCCTTGCAGAGAAGCAACAATACCAACATTCAAGTCTTTGGTTTGAACCAGCCAGGGATCGAGGTGGTTCTTGTGTAGTATGAAGAACTGCTTATAATTGACCATTGATGTATAAAGTGCTATTTCAAGATTAATATGAGGCTTATTATGTTGTGCTTCAGGAAATTTTAAGATCAAGATATAATTACAGTGTTCTATGTTCAGTTTTCTTACCAACCAAGTTGAAGAAGTCCACTCTCATGCATTCACAGTATAAAAATTTCATTTCTGTATTTCATTTTGTTCATAGCAGTGAAGACATATCTCTGGATAAAAAGTTATATGTATGTCTATTTTTATACCAGATTAACACACCTAAATATAACAGATGATGTAAAGACTAAAATCCATATCTAAGTGACATTGGTAAGTAATCAGACTGAGATGATACCTTATTTCAAAATTGTGATCCTTTTGGTGTTTTAGGCATTAGAACTGGTGTTGTGTACAGGTGAACACTCTGATAAATATGCCTTTAACAGTTGAATACATTTACAATTTTTTTTTGTGCATTTAATGTTGTCACATTTTTGTTTTTGTACTTTAATGACAGTTGCAAAATCAACCCAAATGATGACCACTCCAGGTACTGCATTGAATTCTGTATGAATAACATTTTGGTGACTATTGTATCTATGCAGAAATGATATATAACCTGCAGTCTCTGGTCAAAAATACTAAAGCTTACCACATATCTCTTCTTAATTCAACAGGTATATCACTGTAATATGGTTCTTGTTTTGGATTTATTTTCAGTTTGTCAAATTCTGCCTCCATTCCTAGTAAACTGTTCTGGTAACTAATCACTGCAAGATAAATATAGAATCATCCTATTTTAATTTTCTCTTAATGCTGTTTGTATCATATGCCAAGTAATAGATCACTGATAAATTATTTTTATACAACAATTGTAAAAAAAATCCTTATCTCTCAAATCAAATAATACAAAAAAAATCATACTGGTAAATTTGGCATTAGAAACACCGCATTATTGCTCTCAAAGAAGCATGATGTTTCAAAAACATTTAAATTAACAGAGCTTCAAAGACTTACTTCTAGCCATACTTGTTTTCAAGGGAAAGGTTGTGCAAAATTTTTCAAAGGATTATGTGCAGACATTAAAGTACTAGTATGTGTCAGATTAGTTTGACTGGTTAATTGTTGTTTTCTTAACATTACATCTAGTGGCATTACTAGAAAGAAAACTGAATGATAGAGTTTTGACTTGAAATATGAAAAGAAAACTATTATTAAATGCATTCAGAAGATATAAAGCAAAAATGGGGTTGTTTTTCCCTACATAACAAAACAGAATTATCAGAGTTATCTCCCCTTACAAATCAAAAAATTCTGTTCATTTGTAATAAAAGTTGTATTAAAGCATATGACAAAATAATATAAATTTCTTAAAATAATTGAAAATCCTCACAAATAAACTGCATTTGTGCTTCAAAACTGGCTAATATCTCTCAGTTAATGTAAAGAAATCAACCATTTCAAACATGCAAGTGTGTGATTCGTAAGCACATACAAGTGACTGTATGGTATGTAAAGTCAGGAGGCTGATGCTTACAGTATCATATTGACAAATGAAGATTACAAAAACATATATCCCAAAACAATATGCTTCTCTTTCTGAGGCATTAAATATAAAAGTAAACCAAATTATTTTTTAGGATAATGATGGTTTTTTTTTGCATTTAGCTATTTATCATAATCTTTGAGGTAATTAAATTTTGTATTCATATTTAAAGCAGATTCAAAAGTTGATATATTCTGGAAAATTTATATTCACGCTATTTTTCTACTAGTGAAAGTCAAGTACATTATTTTGTAAAGAATCATATCCAAAAATAAATTAGTTTACAGTAAGCTGAAAAACATGGCTTGATTATGTATGTATTAGTTCAATTACTTCATAATTTTGTTCGATTTCAATCATGTCAATATGACAATAGAATGTCTAAGGGTTAAGAACCTTTTATGTTAACTTCATGCATTATATACCTCTTTCATGAAGTTTCTTTTCTATATTCTCTGCCTCAGTCAAACAATTCTGTAAATTTTCATCTGTCTGTATAAAAAGATATAAAATCATCTTTCAACTATCTTCATTTATAAAATATTACTAAACAAATTCTATACTGCTATAAACTTGCATATGCAAACTCAAAGAAAATAATATGCATGTAAATTTTAATGTAGCCCAACAAAAGGTGTAAAAATTCATTACAACACAGCATTGCATCTGTAGGATTTCTTAGTTTCTGTTGATGGTGCAGTTTGTTATATTGTCAAATATTTTTGTCAATTTCATTTTTTCCACCGTATATTCAAAATGTAAACATGTGTTTGAGATATAATCAAAAGATTGATGAGGATGATGGTTAAAAATTCTTCTAATCATTCACATTTAAGTATACTTTATGAATAAGAGAATGAGTTCCACACTTGAAAAACAAAGCAAATATTCATAAATATCCTATTTCTGTTGAATGACAGTGTGTATATACAGAAATAGATACTCATTTGATCTTGTTAAACCCTAAAACTATAAACATATTAACAATTTGGAGAAAGGTAAATATACAATGACAATTTGTATATCTGTTTGTGTTATTGGAAATACAACTTTTCAGGAATCTTGGCACACACAGTACATTTTGTGAAGGTGCATACAGTTTCTGCCATTCCATTATAAACTTACAAATACTGTTCTTGCTGAGCATAAGTTATCAGACACATGTGACAAATTCTCTTCAAACTGTGTCCTGAACAAAATATATAAAAAAATATATTATATCACATGGATTTAAAATTGTACAGCTTGCCATATTATTGAATTATTGAAAAGAATTCAGTTATATAAGTCAGGCCAAAATTTCATAACTCAATACATATCCAGTTTAAGTATGTTTTTACCAAAAACAAAGTTGTTCACTTAGAATAACACTAATTGTTGTCATTGAAATGACACAATCAGATTGAAAAGTGGAAGCTATTGCATCACACATGAAGATAATTTACTTGAACAGATATTGATTTACTTTGACAGCATTGCAGAATAGTGGTATGGCATATTTCCTGACCTTACAGAGAACTTCAACATGAAAACAGAATACTTAGCTTGAAAAATGAGTATGAAAATGTTTACAGACAATTGGATGATATAATATATATTACAGCACTAAAGTTAATTATAATGTTTCCTACTGCATTTTCTTTGTACTTTGTATAAATGTTTTAGGGAAAGTTTAAATTTTTATTCAATAAAAAAAATAAAAAGATGATTTCAAATGGAATATAATGTACACAATATCACATAGTTTTTTGCTGTATCCTGATAGTTTATTCTCTCAATGCACCAGCACATGGCAAGTTCATTCAAATATGATCTCAATTGACAAGGACTGCCAGTTTTTCTACCAAAAGTCAGTGGTTCTCTTCCTCAATCAATAAAAAATGGCCGCCAGGATATAGCCAAAAGGGCTGAAAGTGGTGTTAAACATCAAATATCAATCAATCAATCTATCAAAGCAAAGATGATTCTTAGTTATTTTTTTATTCTTTTTTTTCTTAATTCAAAATCAAAACATTAGTCTGTAAATCAATGCATGAAAACTGATTAAAATTTTATAAAAAATCTTTCAGAATAATGGGAATGTCATTAATTTATCCAGCTTACACTTCTTCAATTTGCTCCTTTTTCTCAACATTTAATTTCTGGTTCAAATCTTCTATACTCTTCTTGTAATACTCATTCCTATCATCCAAACTAAAAGTAAAAATGTAGACAATTTAGTTTCAATATGAGGCTATCCTTTAAGTGAGTAATCTATAAAAACTCACTTGAGAACCTTTAAGGTATCACAATCTCTTTGCTGCAAATAATCATAGCTAGGAGTATGCTAAATTTTGGATTTCATTGTAACATGATAAAAAATTAGTTAGTTTTCCAAGGAAGACCTGTCATGCCTGTGGTGTCTGCTGTCTATAAATAATGTATTAATTAGAAACGGCTAAATTTATAGTCTGTTATGGAAAACCCTAAAAATCACTCAAATCAAAAATAAAATAACAGGTACACAACTTCATATCCTGAAGAAGATTCTGTTCAAGCTTTTATGGATTTCTGTCAAGACATTTTCACAGAGTTGCAGATAAACAAACTTATATAAGTATAAATGGCTAAGTCAATGTTTTGTATTGAAAACCCCAACCTAATTTAGCAAAAATAAGATTAAAATCAGTATAAAATCAGTGAAACAATTATCTAACATGTTCTCTTCTGCATGTGAAGATTTGTCCTGCCATGCCTTATTTCAACATATATATACTGTGAAAGTACTTTTATTCGTGGGGTACCAATTTTCGTGGTTTTCTTGGATGGTTTCATCCACGAATTTAAGTTTCCAACGAAATATAACAACTGTTTTCCAAAACAAGATAAGGAACGATCCATGTACACGATTTAGGTTTGACTACATTGATACGGCATATAATCTAGAGAATACATCGAATATCGGTAAACGCACTATGAACTATATACATTTTTGTACATCTTCAGACAGGGTTTTACCATTTAATCTTTAAAGAACCTAAACTGTACGCCTTTTTACCTTTTAATTGTCATGAAAAATTTGTTTTGATTGATGAACGTCAGACTTCCAGTGATGATATGTGTTCATGTTATCTCCTCATGATTCAGATACATAAAAAATAATTTCATATTTGGATTGCTTTCTTATTTCATAAGAATAAATTCTACAATTCAAAGTACATTTGTAGCATATTTTTTTATGTAACTGTGTTCTTAAAGTGACATGTTTATTGCCCAATTACCTCCTTTTATGATCGTTAATCTGTTGATTATTTGATCTCGGGTTAATTAGTGTCATCACTTCTGATTACAGGTGTTAACTTAACAATTTCCGACAACAATTCCGAGACAATTTGTAAGCATAGATAAATCAGCTTGTTTCCGAAACAATTTTTTTTTAAAATTTGATAATTGTTGTCAGTAATGAATGACAATCAAGTAAGTGAAAATGGACACCTAATTTGCAATGTCCCGCAAATCGTTATAAAACAACGAATAATTTATTTTCAAGAATCTTCGTTTCTGATGGCTTCAAATTCTTCACTCAATTTTTTTGTCAGAAAACTAAAATCCACGAATTTAAGAACCCACGAACATGTAACTTTTGCTCAAACCACGAAAATTGATAGCCACGAATAAAAGTACTTTCACAGTATACAACATATACCCATGATTTCTTTCCAACTTTGCTCCAAGATTTTTGTGTTTGAAGTGTGTGGTCTTTTTTTTTCATGACTCATACATACACTTCATTAATATTACCTATCAGCAAGACTTTGCGTCTGAGAAACTTTGTGCTGTGCAACTTTCAAGGTTTCTACAACAGAAAACAACATGTCAAGACTTTCATATCTATAAGTACAAGCTAAAATGCATATTACTATAAATAATTAATAATATAATCAAGTAAGGACAGAATCGTTCTCTAGATGTTCTTTAAAAAAGAATGTCTTATATTTAGATACTGTGGATTCATTATCGTTCATTGTTCTTGGTAATTTCATTGACTTCATAGGTATAGGCAAACAAAGAATTCAAATCTTCAATGAAAAACAAATTTCCTACAAACATGTATGCAGATTATTCTTAAACCTGAAAATCAAAAGTATCTTTGAAAGCAGATTTTTTTACGGAAACTATACATAAATTGGTACACACAAAAATAAAGGAATCCACAGTATTCAAATTTCATGCACTGTAAAAGTGAAGACCACTACTAAAGCACTGTTACCTTGATCTATGTATTTTTCTACCTAAGAAATGTTTAAAAATAGTCATGAGTACTCCCTTTTTCCAAGAATATATAAAAGTTGTTTTTTTATACATGTGTAAGAAAAATCTGAGAAAATACTGCCTGTATGACAAAATGCTCTTACATATGATAAGACTTAAGACATTTCATAATCTGATTTCTACATTTATTTTTGGCTTTTTAGGATATCCAAAAGAACCAATATAGACCTAACACTTTATACCATAAAGCAATAAAACATAATTTTAGAAATTTTTCACTATATATGAACACATTAAAAGACTTGAAATTGAAAACCATGTTTCCCAGTTTAACATGCAGAAGTTTAATGCAACATTTTACATAAATCTGTGACATCACCCAATTACTGGAACTCGATATTTATATTTATAATTACCATTCATTTTTGTGTGGACATCTTTAATCTGCAAATACTTTCCATTGACTGAAATTAAAATAACAAAATGTTTAGGAATACCTTAAACAAAAACAAATAAACACTGATAAAGTATGAGAATAAAGGCAGAGCTAATTTTTAATCATAAGAGAAGAGCCATTGGCTGATAAAGAATACTGTAAATTCAGAAATTATTGCATGCATTTATTATTGTAATTTGGAAGAATGGACAAAAATGTGAGATCAATTATTGCAATTCAGGAAAATGTTTATACAGATATCAGACTGTGAGTTCTTATTATTGCATTACTCACCCATTCGTATTATTAGTAATAGTAAAAACCTCGCAATAATTTCTGAGTTTACAGTACATAAATATTTGAATTATAGGTTTGAGAATCAATCAAAATTTGCAAGGTCTATTTTTGACACCAACAAAGTTCTCAAAAAGTGGTTATCTGTAGGTTTTGACCACCAACATTTTGCAAAAGCAACACAATTTTGGTATTATGCATTCCAAACAATTGTAAGGACCTGCAGATTTTCTTCAAGGACCTCCAGGATAAAATGATTTCGCAAACTCTGCTACAAAAATTACTTTTTAGTTTGAAAAAAATCTATATACTCCATTTAAGGAGAAACTATATGACTGGTCAAATTCTTTATGCTTCCTTAATCAAGGTATGTTTGAAGCATATGTACTGCACCAGTGATTCCTTCAAAGTGATTGGTCCCCAGCCTTAACATCTATAAGCAGTGATAAGTAAGGGACATTTTGACAAGGGTGATGTCCCTTACCAACACATATGTTACATATTATTGTTAGCAGCCAAATCGCAAACAATGAAACTGAGTAGTGTAATGTTACTGTCAGAGAAAGTAGGCTAGCAACACAAGTTCACCAAAACAGACATTCAGAAAAACATTTAAATAGTTCATCATTTGTATTTGGCTTTATTATTTTAACAAGGTACAGTATGATTTTGAAACAAACTTAAATCACTGTATATATTTTTCAATACAAAGTAACATACTAATACTACAGTTCAACATCAAACTCGAGATTTGTTTCTTCAGTCTAAAGTTCTAAACACTGTGTGCAAATTCATTACCACAAATATTTTCTTACCATTAACATTAAAAAACATAATATCTAAGTCTCGATAGTTGTGAGTTTTTAAAGGCTGATAAATATTTCTGAATAAATATTACTTTTGATGGTCATATTTCAGTATTTTGTTAACATTTTAACATTGTAGAGTTCATATCTTGAAAGACACTTTTCTTTTGACTGAACTTCAATATGCCATAAATGTGATAGGTTGTAAAACTCAGATCATCAGATTGGGAAATTTTGGTCAGGAGTTTAGACCTCAGATATTATACCATATTATGGTATACTACACATAATACGACTAAATCAATTTGTTTAAGACTTATGATAGTGTGTAAATACATGGGATTAAAGGGAATAAAAACAATAGTAATACTAGTAAAATATATAAACATACTGTTTCTACCATGAAGATGCTTTCAATAATGTTAACAGTTATTCTCTAAACATCACACTGTATTTATATAAAAAAAAAAAGTGTTCATGACATGTATATATTATCATGATTATATGTGTTCAGTTGGCCTTAAGATGTTTTTTATTTTTTGTGTTGCTATCTCATTGATGTCTAAAATATGAAAACAACACACTATAAATTTCATGCGTACGAAGCGCTTTTCTGGATTCACCTTCATCAGGAATGCTCAAAGCCGAATATTTGAAAGCCAAGGAGTATAAGGACCAAAAACGCTGAGGAGCTATAAACCAAAAAGGACCTAAAAAAAAAATAGCCAAATCCATCTAAGGCCAATTTTGCCTGAGGGAGTTGAAACCTTAGTTTCTTTATAATTTATAAATTTATAAACAGGCAATCACTTTTCTAATTGAAGTTTTTAGTTGTATTTAACGATTGTATACAAAATCGCTTACTTGTAAATTCATATTTTCAGCAGCAATGCAAAGACATTAATCTTTAATTGAAGAAGTGAAAGTATGATTATTACAAACATTTCTTTTTACTTTTCATAAGATTTATAATATTTTATTGCAACAAAAAATATTAAAATGGACCACTATTGTCTGTTAAATATCATTTTAAATTGCATAATATAATTCATTAGCAGTTACCACTTTCTAGTTCTTGTTCCAGTTGTCTTCTCCTGTTTCTTCTTTCATTCAACTTTTGTTCTAAATAACTCTTTTCTGAAATGTATCAAATAAATCTTATTTGGAATTGTAGCTTGCTATCATATGCAACAAAAAGTGAGATTCCCATTTAGATGACAACTTTATTAGCATGAAAACATGGATAAGACTGAGTTATTGCTCACTGACTGATGTCCAGTAGGACAATTTTAAACCATCAACATTTTGCATTACCCTGTTCCTGTTCTGTTGATAAACGCTGCTATGTTGTAAGTCATACGATTTCTCGCAAACTTGTATATCTGATTACCAAAAAGAAGCATGAATGGCAATATGAGGACGAATAGTTTTGAATTTAGTCTGTCTGTGAATGTATTAAAATAAATATAGTGCTTTTCAACATACGATTTTATAGCAGACAAAAAGAGTTTTTTGGGGAAACTCACCTAATCAAGCAGATTTTTGTATCCTCTGATGCACAAGGAATAATAATAAGCCAATTTGGTATTTTTCATCGTTTAAGGTATATAATTTATTATAGTATAGTTTTAATTAAATAATATTTCAATATGAAATAAACTGTTACACTGAAATGCAGTCAAGTTTAGCGATTGATAATTCATTGATAACATTCTGGCGTATCACAAACAAACAACTTGTAACGTCTCACTTCATTGGCCGAAAGATTTAAATACAACAACAATTGTTGTGTGCACGTGAATTGACACAGGTGACCGACAATGGAATGTACTACGTTACTACGAACGTAAAAAACAATGATTTTTGGTCGAAATAATTAAATAAGTATTTTGTGAATTTCAAATAGTGAGGTCGAAATATTATACTAATAATTTGTGTTAAGTAATATTCTTTATGCATGCAGCACTTGTACCGCACTATGAAAAATATAAGGATAAAATAAAATACATGTGCCGCTTTTATACGGATGAATGTATGAACCACTTTAATTTTTTTCATATTGACGCTAGGTTATTATCCAGACAATGTCGTAGTTACTTATAATAAGGATCTCATAATACTGATCCATTTCAAATTTATGATGGGTTGCACATTCCTCTTTTATTGTTTTCATGCTATAAAACGAAAATAAAGAAGCTAAGCGTTTGTTCTTCAGAAATGATGTGTCATAAACGAGCAAATTGTCCCCGAAAGATCGTACCATGTGTGCACGTGAATATAGATGTACTATGCAATGTACTATCATGGTCACCACGAAATTCAAATGAATTCAGTGAAGGCATGTTGGTGTAAAAAGGTTTGAAATGTTTCATCGGCGAAGATTTTATTTTTGCATGTGTGGAACTAAAAAATAAATAAATACTTGTGAGAAATGTCGTAGTTTATAAGGAACTATATAAATGTACTGTTTTCGATTTTGATTGGTTGAAAATTTATCCTTTAATTTCATACCGTAAGAATAGAGCTTTGCATAACATTGTTGAACAATCCGCCAAAGTAACGTGTGGCATGCGTGCGTATTAAAATGAAATACAAAATCATACATGTATGATAAACTTATAAACGAAATATTAAGAAATTAAGGATGACTACTGTAAAAGTATGTACAAAAATGGAGTCACCTTTTATCAATACATTTAGTGAATAACCACACTGTTTAAAACTGATTGTTTTCTATGCAACTATTTAAATATTTACAATATATAATTTTCAACTGAGGATAGCAAAACAGTTAATTATAAATTAAGAAAGTATATCGCTGGAGTTTATAAAGTACATTTCCTTCCACTGTGCCATGGTTTGCCATCTCCATTTTTTCTCTAAACAAAGCATGGCTGGTTACATGTTCTGAATTTACTTAGAATTTCGGGATTTTTTTTCAAAATCAAGTAAACTAAATCACAAAAAAAATCACACTATCCTAAAACTTATGAAAGAATATGAATAATGAACATGACAGTTTATAACACAAACCCATTTACTATAAAAATCGAGCAATATCTTTAGTATGTAATTTGGTTATTTTTGTAGTTAAGTACGGTTTCATTTCAAGTACAACGTTAATTCATCAAGTCCATTGCATAAAAGATAAGGCAGGGTGAGCAACTTGACAAAAAAAAGGCAGGATGACGATTTATGTAAAAAATCAGGATAAACGAATAAATATAGTCAGGACCTAACAGACTGAAAAATAGAAAGACAGGACAGAGATAACAACTAAAAAAAATGAAGGACAAAATGTTTCATCCAAGTCCTTCACCCCCAATCAAAATAAAATGGTAGCTCCCTTAATCCAGGACCAATTGAGAGGAGACAGTTGAATTAAATATTTCGACGTGACTGTTAAGATTAAAGTTTAAAATTTTACATGCACATGTATAAAAGCTAGAATTGCCATGCGATAATCAAGAACACAATCATGTTCGGGAATACGACGATGGAAGTTTTTAACGACCTTGACCGGCTACGTGAATACTGATCAGTCCATTCAGCTTTATAGTACGCGTGTTCTATTTTCGCAGGTGTGAGGTCGAAGGTTTGAATTGACCAATGAAAACGATCGTTCCTTAACGAGTTAATCTAATAAAGTTTGTTTGACTGATTATGTTGCACGACCTTTCGCTAAGCTTGACCGCAGTTCAGTGTAACTGAAGATAGCATTTCTTTATTTTACATTGAAAATGATGCCATAAATAAAATTCCTAACAACAGGACCAACACCGAAAATGTTAATTCCCTATTTCAGTTTCTTTTTTAACATGAAATTATGCTAGGAATTAACGATTTTGCAATTTCTTCTTCTTCTTCTTCTTCCAAGTAAGGAACCGAATTCATTTTGAATGTGTATGGTCCCGCGAAAACTTAGCGCAGTGCCGGGCAAGGCAACAAGTCTTCTCAAGGTTATTTACATTTAAAACGTTCGCCAATTTACAATTAAAATTATGTACACGCTATGCTGTTTACTTCCTTCCAGATCCTGCTTTCAGAGCAGCTCTGAATCCCTCTATCGAGTCAGTCGATGTTGTTTTAGCTGGAAGTTGATTCCAATCCCTGATGGTCTTTGGGAAGAATGACTGTCCATAGGTGTCGGTTTTTGTTCTCTCTTGGTAGAAGCGGCCTATACCTCTGGTCCGGCTGTCGTTGGGTATTAGATATTGTTGTCTATCTATATCGATTAGCCCGTGCTGGATTTTAAATAGCATACATAGTCTGTTGGTTTTCCTACGTTCTTCCAGGCTTTCCCACTGTAATTGTTTAACCATGTGTGTTACACAGCCAGGTGTTCGGTCTGAGTAGTTATTATGAACAAATCTTGCTGCTCTTTTTTGCAATTTGATAGAAATTATGCTAGAAATAAACTGTTTTGCAATTTGATAAAGAGGTATTTATTGTCCAGCCCTCAGTATTGAAGCCAATGATGAAGGGTATCTCAAAGTTACGGATTGCTTTTAAATATTCATAAGTGATTTTTTTATGTCATAATTTGTTTAATGGAAAAAAATTGATGGCCTTCGAACAGTTTTCTGTAGTTTAAATTTTGCAAAAAATCAGTATTCAAAAAATGTATACCTCGTCTTCTTTCACAGGTACATGTACCTGCCTCCTATTACTAGTATTAGGACTACAACAGACCACGATGACAATTTCAGTTTTTTATTTTCTGGATTTTTCCTAAATCATCATTAAGAAGCTTCCAACTCTCAACAAATTTGCATCCAAATGAGAGCCTTCATATGTACAATTTCCAGCATATTTGTATATCTGCAAAAGATATGAGGCAAAGAGACATGCAGAGCCTATAAAAAGAAAAAGAAATCAAACCATGCTACTGATATTAAAAGATTTAAACAACTGAAACAAACCATCTAAAGAAAATCAAGACAAGCCTATTGGAAATATATAGAAGACATAATAACTCCAGAAGATCATGAGGACATCCGTTCACCAACAAAAAATTGCTGGACAATATATCGAACACAAGAAAAGTGATAAAAATGGAGTAGCACCACTTAGAAGAAATGGGAAATTCGAAACTGATCCAATAAACAAAGCAAATATATACTAAACAATCAATTCCAATCAGTCTTCTCCGCAGCATGTCCCATCAGTAAAAGAGATTTTGAAAAGAAAAAACTCATGACAGACCTACCAGAAAACTATCCAGTCAGCGAACAAATAAACATCACTAACAATGGAGTGGAAAAACAACTGAAAAATCTAAAACCACACAAGGCTGCTGGACCAGACAACATCAAACCAATGATATTAAAAGAACTAGCCAGTGAAATTGCTCCAATCTTAACCATCATTTACAATTTTTCAATGGAGAAAGGTATGATATCAAATGACTGGCGAACTGCAAATGTCACTCCGGCATATAAGAAAGGCCAGAAATACGTACCAGCTAACTATAGGCCAATATCATTAACATGTATCTGTTGCAAAATAATAGAACATATAGTCACCAGTAACATCATGAAACATGCAGAGGTAAATAACATCCTATACCCTCTACAACATATGGCTTCAGGAGTAAAAGATCATGCGAAACACAACTCCTTGAATGTATCGATGATATCATAAAAAATCTGCAGAATGGAAAACAATCAGATCTGCTTATACTGGACTTTTCAAAAGCTTTTGACAAGGTGTCCCACAGTTTACTCCTCCATAAACTACACCATTATGGCATTCGAAGTAAAACAAAAAATGCATGGATAAAAGAATTTCTCACCAACAGAACCAAAGTAGTAGTTGTTGAAGGTGAAACATCAGACAAAGTGAAAGCAGAATCCGGAGTACCTCAAAGATCAGTCTTAGGACCCAGTCTCTTTCTTTTTTACATAAACTACCTACCAGAAGGCCTACACTCAACAGTGAGACTTTTTGCGGATGACACTGTTGTTTATTTGACCATTTCCTCAAACAACGACTGCCACAAACTCCAAGAAGACCTGGACAAACTGGCAAAATGGGAAAAACTTTGGAAAATGCCTTTAAATGGAGTTCCACCCTGAAAATGCAGTATCCTCACAGTAACAAAAAAGAAAAATCCAATCAAGTGGGACTACAAACTCCACGGCCATACTCTGGAGCATGAAACATCAACTAAATCTAGGCTGCACCATTGCAAATAATTTAGATTGGGGAGAACACATAAACAACATCACAGGAAAAGCCAGCCGAAGCATTGGTTTCTTACATCGAATACATCAGCTCAAAATCCACATAAGAGCATGCCTATAAAGCAGTCTTTGCGCTCATCCACAGGCCCACCAGCCCAGGCTTGTAGAACTTCTGTCGGGCCTGTAAAAATCATCTCCATATGCCAATATAATTAACTAAAATTTTCTTAAAATTAAGCTTCGTCTTTAGATTCAAAAGTCTATTGTGAAGACTGATAAAATATTAGTAAGACCGCAAATGGACTTATACGCCACGACAGTATGGGAATCATACTAGCAAAACCACATAGATAAAATTGAAAATTACAAAGACGAGCTGCTCAATATGTAACCAGCAGACATAGAAATAGATCAAGTGTAATTGAATTAGGATGGAAAAGCCTACAAACAAGACGAAAAGAAGCTAGACTCATCATGTTTTTGGGCTGGTTTTTTTCAGATGCTCCTATCATGAAATTTTTCAAAGTGTAATTTGCCTTTTTCGTCATTATTTTCTATATAATTGTGTACTTCAGACCTTGTTGTATTTCCTTGAGGCTGGCTAATAGTGTTTCTACTTTAAAAGACATTTCCAAAGAAATGCAGACGATTTTTGTATTGAACTTCCGGTACAAAGGGAGATAACAACGATTAAAATCTATCATAAAACCAATATCAACATTCAATATTCTTCGCTAAATTGTGAAACAACGAACATTCATTCAATAGTTACAGTTGCTATAGCATATGCACATTTAAACAATGTGTTGACCCGTTATTACTTTATGTGTTATTTACATATATTTTCAATAAATTCAAAGCTTTAATAAAGTTCACAGCAGATTCTCAGTCTAAAAAATTTATGGCTTTCTGTCACAGGCACCGCTTGTTTCTGTCAATTGGGGGAAAAATCCGTACAAGTGTGGATAATAACACCCCCCCCCTGATATATTCCTGAAAACGGTTCAAAATTTTGTTAAATTTTGAATAATTATAAAAAATAAATACAATATTTATAAAGCGCATTATATAATAACAACAATTACTCTAAGCGCTCAGTCACATTTGAAAATAAATAAAATACAAAAATACATATAACATAAATAATTATCTAGTAATAAAGGTATCACTGAAGGGATCAGAAGGACAACAAAAACAAACATTGTATTTGATAATCTCTTATACGAAATTGTCACTTGTACCAAAAGTAAAAAGCATTATATTATCCGTTGAGAAATATACTGTTACTGTAATTTTGAAATACGGCATACAATGATGTTAAGGTAGATCATAGGTATATATTTCCTCAGATAGATTTTTTTTATACTTTGCCAAAATAAAGATTTGTCTATGCTTTTTCCAAAAATATAATAAAAAGTATGGGTCACCGTGCTATTTTTCAAGCTACGGGTCGTACGAGATTGCACAAATTTGCATAGATTGTTCATGAAAAAACACATTTTTGTGCATAAAAAGAAATCTACGAGATAGAATTTTGAAATAAAATATGAGAAGATAGGTTTTATAATATGCTTTAAGAAAATAAAAAGAAAAAATGGTGTCACCGAACTTGTTTTCTTGCTACAAGTAAAAATTTAAATTTCCCTATCAGTCCAGTATAATTTTTTTACTAAAAGAGTTTCCCCTTAAATGGCCAAGTTGAAAAAATGATTCTAAAAACACAATTATTTGGCATTTGTTTAAACATTTTGAATAATGCAATAAATCACCAAGTTTTCTTTCATTAGATAAACAGTCTAACCTATAAATTGCCTATCTGTCTCCAAATTTGCAGATTTGGGCAAAGATCTAGACCGATTGTGTACTGCGATTGTACATTACAAGATGTCGGTATACCATGGACCTACCTTAAATAAAATTGAGAATGGAAATGTGGAATGTGTCAAAGAGACAACGACCCAGAAGTAATACCTCTGCACAAAAAATCAAACACTCTAGATTAAGGAAACTAAAGACCTGTAAGTATATTGCCCATGATTTCAAAAATTTTTGAGAGGTCTATAGAAAATCAACTTGTGGAATATTTTAATTCATTTTTCCACATTTTTCTGTCAGCTTTTCGAAAAAGGATACGGATGCCAAACCGCTTTATTAAAAATAATTGAAGATTGGAAAAAGGCTTTAGATCAGAATAAATATGTAGCAGCTATATTAATGGACTTGTCCAAGGCTTTTGACTGCCTACCCCATGACCTCCTCCTACTAAAATTAAAATCCTATGGTGTCTCCGCTTCTTCTCTTAAACTTTTGGAAAGCTATTTAACTAATAGAAAACAGTGTGTTAAAGTAGGTACTAATCCAAGCTACTGGCAAACAATGTTTAAAGGGGTGCCACAAGGGTCGATATTAGGGCCAACATTATTTAATATCTTTTTAAATGACATTTTCTTTTTCATTCATAAAAGTGAACTCTATAATTATGCAGATGACAACACCCTTTCATACGCAGATAAAGATTTAGATAAATTAATTAATACTCTAGAAGATGAAAGCAAAATTTTGATAAATTGGTTCTCAATAAATAAAATGAAAGCAAATCCAGAAAAATTTCAAGCAATAGCTGTAGGTAAAAAAACTAAAGACAAAAACCTAAAATTTAAATTAGAAGGTAATGAAATAGAATGTGAAGATAACGTTAAACTTCTAGGCGTAACAATAGATTTTAAACTAAATTTCAATGAACATGTCTCTATAATATGTAAAAAAGCATCCAAACAGTTAAATGTATTAAAAAGAATAGGAAAACACCTGACTAAACTCGGAAAATTAACAATATATTATTCTTTCATAATGTCCAACTTTAATTACTGCCCACTAGTTTGGCACTTTTGTGGGGAGGTTAATACAAAAAAGATAGAGAAAATTCAAGAGAGAGCACTAAGGTTTATCTATGAAGACTATTCAGCAAGTTATGAAGATCTACTCTGCAAATCAAAATTACCATCTTTAAAAATAAGAAGAATGCGATCATTGACTATTGAAGTTTTCAAAATTATTAATAAAGATTGTCCTGTTTATCTCCATGATTTAATACACTTAAAGGAAAACACTTACTCTTTCAGATACCAGAATACAGCCGACCTACCACATGTAAGAACAACTGCATACGGCCTACAATCTTTAAGGTATGCAGGTGCTAAGCTTTGGAATGAGCTGCCAGATGTGCTACGTAAGCAATCATCTTTAAATCAATTCAAGAACTTGATAAATTCTTGGTCTGGCAGCTCATGCCAATGTTTTGTCTGCAAAACCAGTTAATTTCTGTTCATTATTTTTGGTTTAATGCTTTATTTTCAGCATGGCAATTTTATTTTATTATCTTTACTATAGTGCTTCTGCTGCTTTGTGCTAGTTTTATTAACTAACATATCTATATGTGCTTTTAATGTGTAAACCATTTTATTTTTGCTTTTGTGCTTATATCTCACAAGTGCATGTTTCAGTGTGTGTTTAACTTGTAAGATGCTTTTAAGAACTTTTGTGCTGCATGTTTATATACTGATATGAACTCTTGCTTTATATGTTTAATTTATGTGTGCATGACTTGATATGTATGTTTTGTTTTATTTGTTGCTCTGTCGGTTTTAAAAGCTCTTCAGAGCTTATGTTTTATACTTGTATTTGCACATACCGACTCTAAATAAAGCTTTATGTCTTATGTCTTATGTCTTACCCGACCGTATTTGAAGGAGCAATATAAACACTTCACTGGACAACAAATAACTTCAGAGATTTTGTTATAAAATTTTTGATAAAAAGGACATTTTCAGTTTGCTTTAACACATCACTTGCACAGAAAATTAAAAACATGTTTCCTACCTTGAAAATTCTTGAAAATCAAAAATGATAACCATTTAAAAATTATTACTAGTATTCAGAAGATGATCTTGTTAATTTACGAACATATCGATTTCCCTTGACTCAGTTAAATTGACCTCTATGAGGGAGTGGACAGCTTTTGTGGGAGGTGGGAGACAAAAAATAGGTGGAAGAGAAAAAAAGATTCTAAAAGTGGGAGGTGGGAGATAGGGGCGGGAGGTGGGAGAAGGGTACCCCCTGTCCACCCCCTCCTCTATTGATCTCTGACATTTTACATATTCAAGCATTTGAAAAATATATAGAAATTACGGTGACGATTCGATCAGTGTCAGTTGGTGTCTGTCTGCAACTGTGTAAGAAAATGTAATGTTCATGTTGTAGCCAAAATTGTTGCTGATCAAAATACTATAAAAAAAAAGTAATAGCAAATTTTGTTATAAATAAACCATATCAAAAGAATTTCAAGAAAGTATATATATTTTACAAGATTGTGTTGCAATAAAGTATTACCATGCTAGTTGCAACTTATTATCAATATCTTGTTTTACTTCTTATTAAGAGCATTAGCAAAAATAATTTAAATCTTTTGCAATCCAGAATTATTCTAATTGTAGTTTTCATTAATATCCTGGATCCAATAATCCAGAATTATTGTTATTATAATTTAGAAATTAAGTACAGTCTAGAATCATGCTAGTACACATCTGGATATCACAATTTCTACTATTAATTCTGATTTGTCGTCTGATATGTAATCTTACCAATTTTGCCCTATTCCCGATTGTGACATTTGACTTTTAAGTTAACAGTGTGGATTCGCATTGCAGGGGATGTATGCATATATAGCAAGAGACTCTTAACATGTCGACACACTCTCTTAAGAGTTCATATGCGATTCCCTCAATTTTTATTTGTTACCTGGATTTGTCTATTCAATCTATTTATGAAATTTGAACATAGATCAAGTAGTGTTGCCTATATTTGTACTTGATTTTATTAGTATTACAAATCCATGGAAAGTATAATTTCTACTAGAAGGTATTGACATCAAGTTCCAATTTGTAGTAGGAGAATTCTAAATAGTAATGAACTCCAATCTGTACTTCAACATAATTTATATACAAATACATTTCACAATGGAAAAGTAGATGCTTATCTATTGGTCACAGCCTCAATCTGATCAAAATTCAGATCTATCGGGGAACTCGCGTGCTCGTCGAAGATATATATGAGAATTCCAAAATCTGAGATCTATATTTTAATTAGATTGTCACAGCCTTGCATGAACTCGATTAAAAAAACACCGTTCGAAAATGTTCTAGAGAAGCATGTATAGTTGAAAGAAGAAACCACATGCTTCAAAAGTCAAATTGTTTTGTTTATAGAAAGATAATTTTTTCTAGATTAAACATCAACATAAAACATGATAAATATTCAGTGTCACAAACACAAATGTTACATGTTCATCAATACAACACGTATATAGCAACATGAATAGTCTGGGTAAGGGTTGAGGTAATGTAATTATATAATTTTCATATAAACCATTATCAGAATGAAAGCTCACACAAATTATATAAAATTACTACATGAGTAAAAAGTTCCGTCATGGTATGGATCCTTAAACTTCTTTCTAAGAATATTAAAGAGGTTGGCTGTTTAGCTTCTGCAAGTAATTATAGCTTTAAATTTTTATACAAAAAATCTGTACCAGTACTATGAGGATCAATGGAGACTCCAAATGCACAACTGTGCTGATGGAAAGCTCTGTAGCTATAGCACT